TCAAGAACCATGGTGGACAGATTCAAAAGAAAAATAACGGTGCTTGTTTCGTGTGTGGTAAAACAGGTCATAAGGCTAATCGCTGCTTTAAGAGATTTGACAATAACAAGGATGGAAATGTTCACCACAATCCTCAAGCTAATGTTGTCGAGCATGATGACATCATTACTGCCGTAGTTTCTGAAGTGAACATGGTTGAGAACCATGTTGAGTGGATAGTGGACACCGGGCCCTCTCGCCATTTCTGTGTTAATAAAAAAATGTTTGTTGAGTTTGATGAGTCTGCCGAAATCGAGAAGGTGTTCATGGGAAATTCAAATAGTGCAGATGTGTGTGGCAAAGGAAAGGTTCTTCTTAAATTAACTTCTGGAAAATCTTTATCTTTGTCAAATGTTTTTTATGTTCCCTCCCTTCGTAGGAATCTGATTTCTGGAGCCTTACTTAATAAGGCTGGTATTAAGTTGGTCTTTGAAGCTGACAAGCTTGTTCTGACCCGTAATGAGGAGTATGTGGGGAAAGGGTATCTCTCTGGTGGATTGTTTGTTTTGGATGTTTCTGTTAACAACATGAATAAAGCTTCTACTTCTGCTTATATTGCTGAGTCTATTGATTTGTGGCATGGTAGACTAGGACATGTAAATGTTCATTCTCTAAAACGCCTTAAATCTTTAAATTTAATTCCTAACATGATTGAAAGTGGTTTCTCTAAATGTGAAATTTGTGTTGAATCAAAGCATGCTAGGAAGCCCTTTCAATGCGTGAGAGAAAGAAAATCTGAATTGTTAGAATTAATTCATACAGATTTAGCTGATTTCAAAAATACTCAAAGTAGAGGTGGTAAATTTTATTATATTTCATTTGTGGATGATTGTTCTAGATTTACCAAACTTTACCTTCTGAGAACCAAAGATGAAGCTGAGAATATATTTTTAATATATAAAGCAGAAGTTGAAAATCAGCTAGACAGGAAAATTAAGAGACTTAGATCTGATAGAGGTGGAGAATATAGCACAAATTTTTTAAAGGATGTTTGTGAGAAAAATGGCATAATCCATGAATATACTGCTTCTTATACTCCACAACAAAATGGAATAGCAGAAAGGAAAAATAGAACTCTTAAAGAAATGATGAATGCTATGCTTTTGAGTTCTGGTTTACCTGATGAAATGTGGGGGGAAGCGGTACTTTCTGCAAACCATATTCTTAATCGTGTTCCACATAAGAAGCTAGACAAGACCCCTTATGAAATTTGGAAGGGTTATGCTCCTAATCTCAAATATTTTAAAGTGTGGGGGTGTCTGGCAAAAGTAGGTTTGCCGGCTTTTAAACGTCCTAATATTGGGTCTAAGACTTTTGATGCTGTTTTTATTGGCTATGCTTATAATAGTGCTGCTTACAGATTTATGTGCCTCAATGATCGTTCTATATGTGAATCTAGGGATGCTGAATTTTTTGAACATATTTTTCCACTGAAGAAGGACATTGTACGTCCTATTTTATCAGCTCCTAATTTTGCATCTGCTTCTGTTCCATCTAAAAATAATGAGGTAACTGAAATCAGGAAAAGCAAAAGGCGTAGGATTGAAACAAATTTTGGTCCTGATTTTTTAACAACATTTTTGGCTGAGATTGATAATTATGATTATATTGATGAGTCTTTGGTTCAAACCTTTTTGATCGAAGAAGATCCTAAGACATATGAGGAAGCCATGAGGTCGATTGATGCTAACTTTTGGAAAGATGATATAAATAGCGAGCTAGAATCTATTATGTTCAATAACACTTGGGAACTTGTGGATTTGCCTAAGGGCTTTGAGCCCATTAAGAGCAAATGGGTTTTTAGAAAGAAAATACGACCCGATGGGTCAATTGAACGGTTTAAGGCACGCCTTGTAGTTAAAGGCTTTACACAAAAGTTTGGGGTTGATTTCTTCTACACTTATTCACCTGTGGCTAAAATTGCTACTATTCGTGCTTTATTTGCTTTAGCTTCAATGCATAATTTATTGGTACATCAAATGGATGTTAAAACTGCATTTTTGAATGGTGAACTTGAAGAAGAAATTTATATGGAGCAACCTTCGGGGTTCGTTGTTCCAGGCCAGGAGAACAAGGTATGCAGACTTAAGAAATCCTTGTATGGTTTAAAACAAGCCCCAAAACAATGGTTTGAAAAATTCAATAACACAATTCTCAGTTTTGGATTTATTTCTAATGGATCAGATACCTGTGTTTATCACAAAATGTTTGGAAATGATTGTGTGATTATTTGCTTATATGTTGATGATATGTTAATTCTTGGTTCATGTATGAATGTCATAAATGAAACCAAACAATTTTTATCCTCTCATTTTGAAATGAAAGATTTAAGTGAAGTTGATGTTATCTTGGGCATTAAAGCCAATAAAATTGATAAAGGCTTCACTTTATCTCAATCACATTATATTGAAAAAATTTTGAGGAAATTTAATTGTTTTGATGAAGTGCCGGTAAGAACACCTTATGATGCTAGTGTACCTTTGAAGAAACATAAAGGAATTAGTGTTTCTCAAAGTGAGTATGCTAAAATAATTGGTAGTTTAATGTTCTTGATGAATTGTACTCGGCCTGATATTGCATATGCTGTTAGTAGACTCAGTCGCTACACTCATAACCCAAGTAGCGAGCATTGGCATGCTCTTAAAAGGCTTCTTAAATATCTCAAAGGTACTATGAATTTGGGTTTACATTTTGTTGGTTATCCTGCAGTTTTAGAAGGTTATTGTGATGCAAATTTGGTAACTGATAATGATGAAGTGAGCTCTACTAGTGGTTATGTTTTTACTCTAGGTGGCGGTGCAATTTCATGGAAGTCTGCAAAACACACTTGTATTGCTCGTTCCACTATGGAGTCAGAATTTATTGCACTTGACTTAGCAGGTCAAGAGGCTGAATGGTTGAGAAACCTACTTGCAGATATTCCTCTTTGGGGCAAGCCTGCTCCACCCATCTCTATGTTATGCGATTCACAAGCAGCTATAAGCGTTGCCAAGAATAAGGTGTATAATGGTAAGAAAAGGCATATACGGGTAAGACATACTACTGTGAGAAAGCTGATTGAGAATGGAGTACTCTCTCTGGAGTACGTTAAATCAGAGAGGAATCTCGCTGATCCATTAACTAAAGGACTTAATAGAAAGTTAGTCCTTGAAACATCGAGGGGAATGGGTCTTAAGCCCATTGGTTGAGGAATTCATAGTTGACACCATTAGTATTTGCTTAGCAAAATTTAATGGTCAAACGAAGCTATGGAAAGACTCATCTTTCTTGTTTTGTTTTCCATTCCTATGGTGTGTTGTGTTGAGGTTTAATACTCTATGTAATCCATAGCCTTGTTTGGGTGGTCCGTTGGACTTGATGGATATACAAATTGATTTGTGAGGGTGAGTATTTTATATACTCTTAATGTTTTCATAGCCGGTTCGGTGGTCTACGTTGAGGTAGACTTGATGAAATCACCTACGTAAGTGTGAAGGTGTGGCGACTTTCTATGAAAAACTATGGGCTGTTTTTCTAGAGCACTTATGAGCATCCCAAGGTTTGTTGCCAATCTTGAGTGTTGTTTATCGCGGAACTCGTACATGAAGGAAGGTGAGATATGTGTTATCGGGTTATCTCTTGACATCAAGAGAGTTCAAGAAATTTATTTTTCTCTCTCTAGATTATGGAGTGACCTCATTTCACTATGTGTTGGTTCAAATATAACATATACTAACACTTAAGTATCAAACCTTATTTTGCTCAGCATTGAAAGTTTTTTTAAAAAAAAGAATTTGTCATCCTTGCATTAGTGGGGGATTGTTGTATAATGCAAGGTACTGGAGGTTTCTTTTGTTTGACTATTTCTTAAAAACATCCCCATCTACCTGGCCTATTTATTTTGAGTTCTCTGGCAGAGGTGCGGTACAAGAAAAATACAAAGGAAAAATTACTCCATATGAAAAAACTCTTCTGCAAATTTCCTGCAGATTTCTTTTCCCTTTGCTGAGCACAACTTGTACAGTTCCTTCCGGCTTCTGTGGGTGCGCACAAAGGCCGGCTTCCGTGTTATCCTTGGGGGACGACGTCTTTGATCAACCGCACCGGTGAAGGCGAAATCGTTTCTAAGGCAGTGGAATTAGTCCACGGCACGACGTTTCACTCTTTGTTTTATTTTAGTTTCAGGTGCAAGAAGAAAACTTTGAAGAAGCACACTAAGAGTCCAGCAGTACCGAACCAACACAACACAATACCATTTCATTTATTTTAACAATACTACAATACAAAATAAAAGAAAATACCAATCTATAATTAAGAATAAAAATAATTGAAAAAATAGGTCTTCTCTGCTGTTGATAGCCGGCTTTGCTTAAAAGAGTAAAAAAATGGTAATGTATCGGGCTCTTTTAAATTTTTAATTCTTTAATAATCAAAAGTAAAAAAAAAAAAAAAAAAGACTGCACTATCGTTTCAGTATGCTCAGCAAACACAAACCTTCATATCAATTTTGTTTGGTATTAAAAAGGAAGGAATTGTGTTACCCTCTTTGTCTAAATGCCCACACATAAACTCCTTTTGACACCAAAATGATTTTACCATGTCCATGCCGTCTAACTTAAGAGTGGCACAACTAGTACCCCTCCCCTTCTGCATGTGTTTGAAACCCCCCACTTTAGGATGGGAAAAAAAAAGAACGAGAAAAAGAAACAAAGGTTCCCCACAAATGACCAATGATTTTAAACCCGGACCGGAGGTCGACCCGGCGGAAGGGACGGGTCCCGGGTTTTTCCGGGTCGGCCCGGTTTTTTCTGGGTTTTTGGGGGGTTGGACCGGACCGGTTGTGTGTCTGGGTCGCGGTTCGACCGGTCGGACCGCCTGGTCCAGTCCGGGTTTAAAAACACTGCAAATGACACTTGAACCTTGATGGAAAAAAATTCAAGGAAAAAAGAAAACTCAATGACTGGCTTCTTCCAATTGAACAAAAACATATCCTTTATTCATTAACTCTGACGGGAGATGTTTAGCTTTTACATCACCACTTGGAGTACACCTCCGGAACCAAATTCAAAAGCCCACAATTAGGAGACAAGTATTCCATATGAACACTGGTATAACCAACCCCACAAAGAACCAAGAGCGCCATTTTCCCGCGAAGCTGATATGTTAGTACAAAAAGGCCTTCCATTTTTGAGGAAATAATTCTCCGTATACTTTTGCGACTTTGGGTTGTTATTGTTGCTGTTGTCGACTCCTAACCGTTTGCCCACAAGACGGGGAAGAACCAAAGAAGATTACAATGGCAGAAATGTCATCCATAGCAATCCCTTTCCTTGTGCGCTTCCATGAGCGACCCGCGCATTCAACAAGACGCTTGGCAGCTTTCCCCCTGTCTGGGGTTTCTGATACGATTCGCACAGCTTCTTGGTTGGATATGACATCCCACACCTTCACATTGATTGGTTCAGTCAAAAACAATAGCATCAACCCATATGTGCCAATTCAATCCTTGTCATTTGATATGGAATGGTTGGCAGTTAAGATTCTATGTATATATACAGCCCGGTTCGATGGCCACTCACTTTGAGTGGCCACGGATGACACTGTCCTAACTGAGACATGTATAGTGCCCCGTTCGCAAAATTGATAGTTCTCACCCCCTAATCCCCTCTGGTAAACCCTCTCATCCAGTCTCGACCCCAACCCATCCCCCCAACCCATCCCCCCAACCCATCTTACTTTGAAGTAAAAAAAAATTGATCCCAAAGTCAACTAAACTTGCACCCCACGATTGGCGTGTGTAGGGGGATTGGGTAGGGGTTTTATCGGGGGTTAAGGGGGTAGGAACTATCAATTTTGCGAACGGAGCGTCCCAATTGGGACGGTGTCCTCCGTGGCCACTCAAAGTGAGTGGCCATAGAACCGGGCTAATATACATTGAATCAGATTTGGAACATAGAAGAGAAGATCAAACATATATATATATATACCCCATCTGTTGCCAGAATCAAGAATTGGTCTCTGCTTGTTATATGCCGGTGTGTGACATCAGGCACAGATATGAGTCCAAAATGCTTCACACAATAGTCTCCAATGGCTCTAGACATGGCCAGCCCTGGGGATTCCACATCAGGCAGCCACACCCGGTGCACACCAGGTTCATCGTGCAGGCAGAACACACGCCCATTACACTGCATTATTCTCTCTGCCTCCTCTGGTAAGAACATTGTACAGTTAATACCAGTACGTCTTTTTAATGTGAGAAAGAGAGAGAGAGGCTCACGAGGTAAATTAGGCTTCAAATCAACCGTGAGCTGAACTGCAGCAAGGTTTCCACCATCCTCATGTGTAGCCAATACAGCACGTGAGTCTCCAACATTTGCAATATAAATCGCTTCCCCCTGCAAGTTAAAAACTTTTAAATTTTTTTAACTAAGATGTCAACGTATGTAATGGGATAAATACCCTGGGCTAGGGCCATTACAATTTTTCTAACCACCCATGAAATATTAAGCAGTGCAATTAGGCCCAGCCCAGAAAAAAAGCAAAACTTTTGTATCATCATTCGCCCTCTAAGGCCCGGCATAGCAAGTGCCTGGTGCAGCAAGAAGCCCAACCAATGGCATACCCACTACCGGCCGACCAAACAAACAACAACAACAACATTACCTCAGTGCCTCAAAGGCTCCCCCACCCATTGCAGGGTAAGGGGAGGTCGAATGTACACAGTCTGACCCCCATGTTTAAAACATAGAGCGACTGTTTTTAGGTGACTCATGATAAGCGTTGAAAGTTGCATGGACTAACTGCTACTTCACGATTAAAAGAAGCACAGATAGTTTACTGTCTTAATATGATCATAGTATGTCCCCACGACTTGAGAAACAAGTGAAGCACCCTAAACCTTATATAGCGGTAGTTCTATAATCTATACTAATATTTCCGTAGTTCTAGGCACCCATAGATTGAAGGTTTCTTTTATCCATTTATATTGGGACACCATAACTAGCACTAACATTTAAGCAGTCGGTGAGAAGCAGGACTGAATGTTATGTTCTTCTCAATTGATCATTCAAGGGAAATTATCTTATGCAATACCAATTCGTTAACGATGGAAGGCTCAAAAGCCAATGGCTATAGACCCGCCAAAGTTCGACCTTGATAAAAGCGAAATCTTTTTATGGGAAGCAGGGAGTATTAGGTAAGCTCGTTTCATTACCATAGTTGCTACAGTTGGACTAGGACAAATATATTCTTTTATTATTAGAACTCTGGTAATAGCTAGGTAGGGGTTTACAGTTGGAACACAGAATTTCCATTGGAGTAATAATCTGGTGACATTGGCAAGGCCAAGTAACGATACTTATAAGCCATGTACTGTTAAGGAACCAACTCAACCAAAAGCTCAAACTTGTGGTTGTGGCCAGGAAAGGTTTTTAAGGTTTTTATGTACTGTTACATGTACTACAGATAGTGTGCACACTCTTAAACCTTAATACAAAGATTCTTTTGAAGCTGTAGCATGTTATAAGTATCCAATGTAATTGGAACACTAGTGTCCTAATATGTCCTCATTTCTTCTGTATAGCTGCTTACAAAAGTTTGAGTGAAGACTAAATAATAGTGCTAGACTTGCAGATATTCCATAGTATTATGGTTCATTTAGATGCTCCCTTCGTCCCACAAAAAAAACTTCATTCTTTTCTTTTTCGTCTGTCCCAACATAAGCTTCACACTTCCCACATTTCATTTTAAGGAAAGGAATATGTGGCTCAGAATGTTTCTCTCTTCTAAACAAATTCCAAATACAACTTTTCATAAACTTCGTAAGAGTCAATCAATCATGTTTCTTTATGGGACAGAGGGTAATGGTGACTTTTACTTTGGTCATAAACTACCTTAAAAAACATATTGCTTTGAACAATTTAAGGAATTACCTGTCTAATAACAGTCAAGGCTGTTGTCCCACTATAGAATGAATCAATTTTAGGATGGTGCTCCAGTTCCTGATCTACAGCTGCACAAGCCTTTAGGTAAGAGCTCTTCCATATGTTGAACTTACTTTGCAATTTGTCACTGTCCAAACAAAAATCAGGATTGACTGAAGCCTTGGCCAACGAGTCCTGCCAACTGCAAAGCAAGGTTGATGGCATTGAATCTCGAACCATCTTTGCCACAAAATGTCCCCATGGCCCATGCCCATCAAATATACCACAGAATAACATGTCTTCCTGCCCTCCAAACTCCTATCACCAGTATAAATATTATCAAAGACAGCTCATAATTCACACTTAGTACATATCCATATAGTAAATCACCCCGGCCACACACGTTCAATCATGATTAAGTCCTCAAGAAAGTGGGAGTCAAGAAATTCAAATTTGTAAAGGTTGGTTTGAGCATAATAAGAACCGGATACCTCCCAGATGATGAATCTATCCTGGTTGATTCCTTTCTCCCCTCTTTTCGAGAAAACAGAAGAAGCATTTCTAGAACCCTGTACATTCAAGGTACCAGAAGATCTCAGTACCAAGTCAGTTTTCTTAGGCACCTTAGCCATGGCTTCCACAGCTTCTATCCCACTACAGCTCCCATCATCAGAACTGTTCCTCCCTTTCTTCAACGTCAGGGACCTTGCAAGCCCATTGAACATGGATGAAAACCTCATCTCAACCCTTCTTAGCTTCCCAATTCCCTGAGAAAAATCAACAGTTCGTGTGATCTGTTTGCATTACATTGTGCTGAAGTCCATATATAGATTCATTGCATTGACAATTATTGAAATGAATATGACATGGAATCACATGATGCAAGTAATGGCATGTTCTAATCTTATGAAAAAGAGAATCTAATGGTGACTTAGAAAGTTAAGCATCTGAGGAAGAATCTAAAACAACTAAACATGCAACTAGTGGTTGAATCAGATTTTTGTTCTTTTTTGGCAAACAGTGGTACAGTACCACAGAATAAGATAAAACTGAACTACACCTCCTAAATGGATTTTTTCTTCTTTTCACAATGGTACTGTCCAACCTTGCATTTTATGTTCTCTTTTATTATTTAGGAAACCTAACCTGACAATTTGCAATAAAGATATATACTCGTAGTTTTGGCCAGTGACATTGAATTTATAGTCAAAGTTTATTGTATACAATATAAAAATGCTACAAGTTAATACAAAAAAAAGTTGAAAAAACAAAGTGGCAACATTTGAAAAGTAGAAAGGTTGTTTCCACAAGACCCTGGTTTAAAATACAAGAGCATAACGACAAAGGAAAGAAACAAAGGTTGTTTCGACGAGTTTTAAAAGCAGAGAAACCAGAACCAGGCTAGAGATTTGGAAAAAATGACTTTTTTTTTCTTCGACTTTCTTAGATTTCTTGTCGGCCAAACCTAGCTAGAGAGAAAAGGTTTCAGTTGAAGAAAGGGACAGTAATAAAAGGGGAAAACTAAATTTGTTCACATAACTGTTCCTTAAATGGGGAAAAAAGGTAAAATAACCAAATAATTCGATCAGAGCAGAGAAAAACTCATGCTGTTTTTGGAGTAGCGAAGAAGGAATAACTGTACAAAAGAACATCCTTGAACCTTGTCGGAGACTAGGTCAGAGATCTTGTGATTGGCCGGAGAAATGTTTCAGGTAGAAGAGCCGAGTAAAAAACTTGCCGGAGAGAGACCGGATCAGATTCCATAGTCGGAGCTATGCAAAGAAGATATCATTTTTTTTAATGGGCAGAAGATAAATAATACTGTAAATGTACTGGTATGAAGGTATGCACGTAGGAGTATAATAATAGGCAATAATAGGATAGAGTCTCAAGACTGAGGAATTTTAGAAAGGGTCTCTCTCAAATAGGAGGGAGGGAGGGAGGGGTAGGCGTTTTACCATGTGCACACATGTCGGTCTTCTTCTTCAAACCTCAGTGGCCACCTCATTGAAAACACGTTTAGAATATCCAACAGTAAAGAATTTAGTTGGTGACTTAGTGGACACGTGTCACCAAGTCATACATCACCAAAATGATTCCTATACATTTTCTACTCAACTTTGCAAGATTAGGCTTTATCTTAGGGTGAAATGCTTACAAGTTACTTTGTATTTTTTTCCAAACTTTTTCTCAAGTTTCTAAATTAGTTTAAGTGCTTATAATATCTTTATATATTTTTTTGAAAGTACTTCACATTTCACAAGTCCTTAAAGTATTTTCCATATTCTATTTAACTAGTATATTAGTGATCTTTTTAGTAGTTTTTTTTCAGAATAAGTCTCCTAAAATTCTTGTAAGAATTGATGTTATATCATAAATTTTCAAATAACTTATACATGTTGCTCAAACAATTTCCGTGCACTCTGAAAATGCCACGGAAGGAACTACTAACGCACCATGGTATATAGACCTGGTAGGAACTAAAAATAATTTAAGGTCATATAGAGCATTTTGGAAAATATATAGAGATCTAGTAATCACTTAAAATAATTCAGAGACTTGATCAGGACTTTCAAAAAATATAGGGACTTTGTTTACCCTATATGTTATCTACAATACTACACCCTATAATTATAATTGTTTGAAATAATTGAAAAAGTACTTTGAATTAAGAATTTGATATGCAATGTCATATCTCATGAGGCTACCACATTCGCCCAATTTCATTTCTCATTCATTATTTTCATGTCACTTTTTCATCTTCGTCAGGCTAATTTGTGCTGGGTCATTACTTTTCTATGTTACTCTTCTAAAAAATAACATTGATCGAGCAAAACATGCCATTTGTAAAACTTAACATGAACACACGCTAATCGATAACCTAAGCTCAATAGTTACGGTCAAAATCGAGGAACATGATAAAAGAAGAATTTCAATGAACCTTAATTAATATTTTTATCGTGTTGCAATCAAAACATGATACATGTCATTACCTAGAGTCTGTTCTTTAGGACTGGAAAAAAAGAGCTGGATGTCGGAAAAAATTGGAAATACTGGAAAAAACTAAAAGAACTGGAAGAAACTGCAAGAAACAGGAAGGAACTGGAAGAAACTTAAAAAAACTGAAAGGAATTGGAAGAAACTGGAAAGACTTCAAAAAATTGGAAAACCTAAAAAACTTTAAAAAAAATTATTTTAGTGTATTTTTATATTATTATGATTCTAATTTTTGTTGTTATAAATTATTATCATTATTATTATTATTATTATCGTCATCATCATCATTATCATCATCATCATCATCACGTTATCTTAATGAATTTCTTTAAGAAAAAAATAGTATTGTTATTTTTTAAATACAAAAAACTATTTTTGCAAAAAAAATAATTATAATATAAGTATCAAAATTTTAAATTTACGTAGTATTTATTATAAATAATATATTTGTAATTATACTTTATATATTACAAGATTTTGTTTTAAATATCAGACATGTCACATAATGTAATCAAACATATTTTTTCTTTCATTATTGACCTTTTATTTTCATTGTAAGTCCTATTTTTGGAATAAAGGCATAGAACTTTTTTTTACGTTTTTTACTCCCTCTGTTCTAAAAATGTAACGCCCTGAGACCCGGTCTATTAGAATTGATTAATTCAATTAATTAATTACTAACTCGGACCCGGTCTATTAGAGAAAGTACCAAAATAGGATTTTCATTTTTTTTTTGCGGAAGAGAATATGGTTGTACATCCTTGTTGGAACGTTAAAAATACTCTCAATAAAATAACTCTCTAGTTCATGTTGACACATATTGCAGACGGCCTATCGATAGTGTTTGTTGACTTGAGAACCATAGCGAAATTATAGTCACCAACATATTTTGTTTGATTTAGTTATTACAAAAATTCTAACACACTTGCATTAGGATACCATATAAAAAAAGGGATGCATAAAAAGTCTAAAGCAACAATTTTACACTTTAACAACACATAAATTTTATAAAACCTACGAACGATGTTTACGTTTTAATTTTACATATGCATGTTGAATTGCTAAAAAAATTAATAATCATAAAAATACGCACCCGTTTATGTTTTTTATTGAAGTATTTTTTTTCTCTTTTCTCTTGCATCTCTAGTTGATCTCGTTCATCTCTCGTCAAGTTGGACGGAAAGTGAAATCAATAATATTATTCATCTCTCATGCATTAATATGACTCTCCTCTCTCGCATTGATTAAAAAATATGATTTTTTCTCCCCTCATGATTTAAAAATAAAAGCATGGATTAGCAATACTATGATTAAAAAAATAAGTTTGAAAACTTTAAAAATCCAAAGATTGCACTTCCCTACATTAGTTCCAGAAAATTAATATTAAAAATATTAGTGATCTGGTGATTCTGAATAGAAATTTACAAAAAAATTGATAGTTTTTTTTTTCTGTTTCAATACAAAATTATTCAAGCCTGTGAAAATATTCATTTCTTAATTTATTTAATTTAAATATTTGATCATTTAAAACAATAGTCTAGTCTTTTTTTTATTTTATAGCATATTAATGTAGAGATTACAATGTTTTTTATATTTTATTTTGCATTAATATTGAAAATAAATAAAATACAAACTAACTTTATTTAAACATGTCATAAATAAATATGAATTTATTTATTATTCTAAAAATAGTTTGTAAATTTTATGATTTAACAAATCCGAGACATGTATTCAAAATATTTGTACGCAGAGTCCTTAAAAATGATATTTTATTAAAAGTAATAATTTACACGGAAAATAATTTTAATTCTAATTTTGAATTCATGGGTTCAAAATAAGTAATTACTCCATATCATTTTTGAAAAAAGAGTAAAAAATGTAAAATAATGAAAGAGAGTAAATTTGGTTAAATTGTCACCTAATATGCTACATGCCAAGTTCTTAATGCGTCACATGTCAAGCTTTGAATATGTCAAATGTCAAGTTTTTAGATAATGGAGTCTCATTTTTATATGTAAAGGATAAAGGATTATGTGTGCCCGAGAGAAAATAAGTTGGTGAATAAATAAAATAAAATTGAATATCGTAAAATCGGGAAACCACTTGTTTCATGTACAAATAGTTCACTCGAATTAGTTGTGACTTGTGGGTTGTGAGGATTAAGTAGTATAGTCTACCCAGTCCCTTAAGAATAGGATCATTCACACAAACATGCCCACTTCTTCCTCGAACGAATTGAATTAATCTTAGCAACCTAACATCATCAACAAATGATTTTATACACAATCAATGAAGCAATTCAAAGTTTGATTATATTCTTCCATTCCAAAAATTCCAATGGTGAATGAATTTCAATGAAATATAATGAGGAGGAACGGCGCGGTGCCAAATCTGCAACGCCGAAATAGCAGCAGCCGCAATAATAATAATAATAAACAGAGATGGGTTGTTATCCCCGGCAGAATCTGCCTGGTTTTCTCCAGCGCCTTGCCTAAGCCCGGGTCACGCTTAAGCCCGAGACGTCGAGGGAGCTCCCGTCGCTCGATAGCGGCGGCGGCGGCGGGGAGGAGGAGGGCTCGATAGGGCGAGGGCGCGCCTTAAAGATGGCGCGGATCAAGCGCAACTGGGACAGGAGGAGGAACAAGCAGAAGGGGGAGAGTCCGGAGAGAGCAACGCGGCGGCCGTGGGCGCTGTTCGGCCGCCGGAGGAGGGGGAAGAAGATGGTAATAACAAGCTCCGTCGACAAAGAGACTAGAGCCATGGGGGAACAAGAAGAAGAAGAAGAAGAAGAAGAAGGATCAGAGCTGTGTAAGAAGAGGATACTGATGGGACACAAGTGCAGGGCGCTCAACTCCTCCGGCAACCTTCATTACGGCCCTGATGGCATTTTGCTGCCGGAGTTTCTCCCCTATGACGACTAGCTTAGCTAAGTCCAAATTATTATTGCACGCCATGATCGAAAATAATCATAGCGCTGCCATAGATTTTCGTGGTTTATGATCCTTTTTGATAGATAATACTCCCTCCGTCCCAATTTATTTGCAACACTTCGAACGATGTGTAAAATATTAACTCTTTTAAAATCATTTTAATTCAAATTGGTAGAGTAATAAAAAGTAAAAATTACACCATTTAAAAGTATATAAAAAGTTCTACAAAACAAGATGCGACAAGAATATTTTATTTTATCAAATGGTCAACCAAAACGAATAAACAAACAAAAGTTATCGAGAGGCCAGAATAGTAAACGTGGCATTCTTTTTGGGACGGAGGGAGTACATAACTCCCCCAACAAAGTGAATTGAATCAATTGATCGATGGAAGCTATTAAACCATGCTTAAATCATTGATGCTCTTTATTCATACACTGCCACACTTGTGCATTGCACAGATCATATTTAAGTTACTAAACTATATTAACATCATTTTTGAATGTTACAAATTAGTATATAATGGAATATAGAAATTTCATTTTTTTAAACTACAAAAGTTAAAAGATTTACAGTATTTGAAAGACTACTTTATAATTCATATTACTCGTATAAATTTGTGAAAATAATGTCTTCATTGCATATTAGAATTTTCAAGTAATTATGATTTATTACTCTTAAACTACAACATACATTTCTCCATGACTAAAATATAAATAACATTAACCAAAACTCCAATTAAAAAAATTATTCAGAGTTAATTGTGTTGTTTTTTTCATTTTGTCAAATCATATCATATATCATATATATATATCCTTTATATATAATATTTGAGAGTTGAACTTTCAAGATTGCGACATTTGGCGTGCTGACTGGACTTTTTTTTGACACTTCATCAGCCACGTCATCAAAATCGACTTCCTCAATATTTCAAACGGGTTGGGCTTCTAGAATTGTGACATGTGGCGTGCTTATTAGACAACCTTTTTAACATATCAGCATGTCATGTTAGCAAGTAATGTTCAAAAAATAGTTAACAAAAAAACTTATTATGCGGAAATTAAATTTCA